TGTGGCATGATCTGACGAAAAAAAGACATTCCTATATGTACATAATAGATTATATAATGTCATATGTCACTCTATCATTTGACAATTTTAAATACAACCAACTTTTTCATCCAATTTGTTCCCTCCACATCATTTTATATAATTCCTTATGTATAATTTTTATGTACAAGTAGTATAATCTTTCATATTATCCTTTATGATTTGCAGCCAACAAATAGCAACATGACTGGTTTCAGTGTCGGCACATATAATCATATATACACCAGGACACAGATATAAAGGCTACAAACTTGAGGGGTGCATCTAATCTTTGGCCGTACAATGTCTTGAATTTTAAGAAAATCTTCAAGAAATTGTCCAAAAACATTATACAAAACACTCAAAATTCTAAAGTTCATCCTGTGGCCGCTGGCCAAATGCAATGCAAATCATGCTTTCACAACCTACTAATACCACAAACTTGTTTCATGTGTAAGAATCTCATGTTTCTGAAACTTCCATGAAATGAAAAGTCCTATTTAGTCAAATAAAGAGATAGTGTTGTAACCAGGGATGTTGACGAAAGGACCTTCCCAAGACCCTTTTCTAGCATTCATTGATAGGCAATCGTTGACTCTTACAGGCAGCAAGAAGCCTGGTCACGCTTTGCGAACTTCACGCGGTTAAAAGAAGAAAGTACAGAATAATAGTAGATGAAGCACAACCCAGAAAGATTCTAAATATGTCAAGTTTCTCCATTATTGAAAACAAATCCCAATAATACTGCTATTACCTAGAAGAAATCGAACTCTAGATATTTTTCACTTTTCTGATCTGAAATAGCTACAGGAAGAGCAGTCTTCTCGTTCTTTGTTGCAGCTGGAACTGGTAAACTTTCAAACTCGACAGGCTTTGGGATATCGGGAGGGGTGGCACAACGTATCAAAGCCCAATTAACTCCTTCAAAGAAAGGGTGCTGCTTAATCTCAGTTGCACCACGTTTATAAGCTAATCTGTGTTGTGGTTCTTTCACAAGCAAACCCCTGATCAAATCCCTTGCAGCAAAACTAACAACCGGTGATTCTGGAAATCTGAGAGGTTGTCCAACAACATTAAACAATGTGGCTCGATTGCCAGATCCTTTAAATGGAGTTTTGCCAAACAAAAGTTCATATAGGAAAATCCCAAAAGTCCACCAATCCACTGCACTTCCATGACCTTCACCTTTGATGATTTCAGGTGCCAGGTATTCATGGGTTCCCACGAATGACATTGACCGAGCATTGGTTGGTTCAGCCATCAGCTCAGGTAATGGGCTAACTTGGTTTCCAATTTCATTTTTATGCTTCCCATCCTTTTTGGATTTCCTTGAAAAGAGACGAGGAGAGAAGCATGATGTTGGAACCACACATGATGGCTGAATGCACGCAGGTTCAATGCAAGCTGGCTGGACACAATACACAGGGTTTTTACTCAGGGGTTCGGATTCCAATGATAAGGCCTTGACCAATGTTGGGCTGACAACACAACGAAGTGAAAGGTCGAAATCCGAGAGCATTATATGTCCATCATCCCTCACAAGAACGTTTTCTGGCTTCAGGTCACGATATACTACCCCAAGCATGTGTAAATATTCTAGAGCAAGCAGGATTTCTGCCACATAAAATCTGCCACCATGAAAATGAAAATAGGAAATGTTAAATGCATTGTAACCAAGATAGAATTCTACTGTGATAACGACAAAATTCTGGTTAACGATACTCATTACTCATTAGATCAAAGATGACCATGAAGCAGTATTATTTAATCCTGTTCTCTTATAATATTAGAGGTATTATTAATAATTAATTTGTTGTACCTATTGCTACAGATCTCTCTCTTCTTTTTTACTTTTTTTTTTTTTTTTTTTTAAACATAAATTTAAGT